GCAATCGTTCGATGGGCTGAATTGCACAAAACGCATGGTCGCACCGGCTAGCCTGGTGCGCGTTGCTATTTATTAGTTTAGCTCTCAATCTCCAAATTATCCTTGCTGGTAATGTTTGATCCTCGAAAAACAGCGGAATTTGGAGTTCGAAATTTTTGTACCTCTTCTCGGCTTCCTCGAAATTCCTGTGTGCTGTGGCAGAATGATAGAGCTCGTGATGCTTGCACAATTTGCTCCTGCTGTACACTTATAGCTTTCTCGAGACGTGCTCTTTCCACTTCAAAATTTGCCCTTTCATTCATATTAGCTTTCGACAATGCTCGACTGATATTGCCAGACGTGGTCAGTGGCGGTGGAATGAACTGGCTGAAAAATTTTTCGGTTTTTTTTTAAAATCAGTTGTTCTTAGTTTTTAAAATAGAAAGGTATATCAACAACGGGTGAAATAAGAAGAATCGAAAAGGAAGATAGGAGATGAGAATTACAAAATTTGTAAATTAATAAAATTATTTTAATGTTAAGAAATGCTTCGGCCCATTAAATCATACACATTTTTTATCATTACCACAATCGAGCCCAAAAACATACTCCAGGTGTGTTTTCGGGATCGATTGCGGTAATTCTTCGGATCATGATTTAGAACAATCATGAAAAAAAAAAGTGCCAAAAAAAGAATTGTATACCCGAGCATCACTGTTCCACCAGTTGAGCGATTTTCTTTTTCTTTTTTTCGGTAAATCGAAACGGAATGAGCCAGAGGTACTGTCGCTGAAATAGATCAATCTGCTTGAGCAAATTTTTTTATAAATTTGTCTAATTAATCTCAAATGAGATGCTGCAAGAGCTCAACTGACGAAGGAACTCTGGGTTTGTAATTTAACGCATCAGACGCGAAATGTTGGTATGCCCGCGGCCAGACTATTGATAAACAGTGTGGACTTGGAAGAAATTAAAAGATATGTTCAACCTGCCCAGGAAGTTAATATATGCCACAATCTCCAGCGGAGCTTAAACGTGAAAGAGCTAATGGTTTTTACAAATTTCATATCCTCTAAATCCTCAGGAAAAAAAAACAAATTGTCATTTATATAATTGCTTTCCTTTTCAATAACAGTCAAAAACTGGTTTCATTGATTCTACTGGTGAATTCAGTTCATACGCTTAATTAATTCATTATTTTTAAGCTATCACAAAATGAGGTTTTCTTTGAACTCGCCGAAATTTTGTACGTTTGCTCTGAAATGTGAAGAAAAGAGATAACTGACAAACCGTCTGTTTTGTAATTTTCGCTCGTAATTTGAGAAAACGGGGAAGTAACGGCTTTCTGGATTTCTGGAGTGCTCAGAATTGCTGACATAAGAGACGAATTTCTGTTTGGTGTCTGAAAAAGATAACTTTCACAGCAGAAATGAGAAATTTTTAATGAAATATTAATTTGTTCCATTATTGGTAACAGTGCTTGTCAGCAAACATATCTACAAAGTATCACAGGAAAAATTTTTGTTCATTTGAAAATTGCATTTTCATCACTGCTGCTTCGCATTGCGCTTGTGCGACACAAAAAATAATCATATAAAAAGCAAATAAGTTATTTGCACATTCTGCATATGGCCGATAAAGGGCTGTGCTGATGATTCCCGCTCCTACACGCACGTATGGCTGCTTGTGTTTACCGCTGTGGGACAAAACAGCTATGCCACAAAATGCTTTATTTAGTTCTACAATCTCGAGTTTCATTTTAAGTTAACTGACGATCGAAATTTCGCCAAAATCTAACTTCCTTATTTTACATTGGAACAAAATTTTGGTCCAAAACATTAACTTCCCCGGCAAAAAATTCGTCTGTCCACATCTGAGAATCAGGCGTACGCAAAAGTTTCTATTTTTTTCTGAATTTAAATTTGTAAAATCGCAAATAGGCAAGAAATAAATTTACCCACCTCGCCGTTTAACTGTAACTGACATTTTGATTAATTAGTTAGCAAAAAACAAACAAACAAGAAGTGCACCAATGCATATAATTTGCATTTTTGTATGCATAGCTGCTTGACCTCTACTGCATTACTAATTGTTAGTCTTGTATTAATTCACATCACTCAGACATAGCCGGACAAATACCGCAAAATAACTTCTCAAAATGCTTGAAACTGTCAAAATTTATATCGCACAGTGCCTCGACAATGCTCAATCCCCTGCCTCGATGAAATGCGTGGATCTTACCGTATTGATAAACTGAAAGGCGTCATCAATTAGCTGGCTGGATTCGCTGCCACTTTTGTTCGATTCACGATTCGCTTCTTCACGCACCACGCTGCTCGGCTCCTTTGCCTTGAAAGATTGCTCGTGAGAGATGCTACTGCTGCTAGAACGCTGAAATATGGAATATAAAGACAAAGCACTGATAATTACTAAGCAGACTGTAGCAACCAAGTTTGACTTTGGAAGCCTAAATGGTAAAGGCGCGATAGATTACAGTATAAGGGAAGGAGATAAGCATGAGATAAGACGTTTCGGTCCATAAAAACATATACGCCTTAACTCAGCATCGCGACAAGGCCTTGTCAGTATGACGGTCGCATTGCTTAATGGAAAAGGAAATGCGAAAGACGACAGGAAGAAGCAGAAGGAACAACAGTTTGATTGTGGAATTAGATGGGGTAAGAGTGGGATGAAGAAGGAAGGGGAAAGGAAGGAGGGAAAAAAGATTTTAGAAAAACACTTTTAAAAAAATGAAAAAATCTCATTTGAAAATGACATAAAAATTTCATAAATCAAAGGAACTCATGCGATTGATAAATCAATTACTACGGCCAATCAAAAATCGACGGTTTGATTTCGCCAGTGGGGAAAACAATCCCTTTGTGAGGTGTTAATTCGTCTTGATGGTACCACTAGCTTATCGCTAGATTTTAAGCAGTCCTCGGGAAAGCAGCCATTAACAAAATTGCCGAAGAGTGGCTGTTATTACTTCAGATAGTTCCAGGTGTTCTCATTTTTCATGAAAATGAAATTTGGAAAGATAACGCGTAAATTCTCATCAACCAACGAAGTAATAATTTTCAGAAATAACGTATGAAATCAGACGTTTCTTTATTTGCTCAGTTCTTTTGAAGCATCAAAAGGCAACCAGTGATCTGAGGATGACCTAACACCTTCTTCCTTTTGCAACACGTGGACACTCCTCTACAGATGAAAACTGCTCTTCGTCCCTTTTTGTTATATCGTTTTCTTCCGAATGAAATTTCATTTTCTCCCATGAAATTTGCCTTTACTTCTCAACCTGTTATAAGCAGTGACAGACGATGCTTTTTTTAAATCAAAAAAAAATTGGGAGGACAGTTAGTATTAAATATGACTTACAATGCACTGCTCTGAGGAAGCTGCTGAAACGGCACGAACAGGAGGAGATCGAAGTGGACCTGAAAAGACTGGAGTACTGATTTTTCAGAAAAAATGCTTTATAAAACTTGGATTCATCCGATTTTGCGGTAGCAATCGAGAAGGATCTGAGGGAAATTCAAAAGCTCACATTCTAAAGCTCTTCAAATAAAAAAACGAAACCACCATAAATCCATTCGGATAGTACGTACGCAGTATTTTCAAAGTATTTATGCAATATCAATTTTCCCAGCTTTCTAATGCTTCCAGAAATCTTTGGATAAGGGAAGCACCGGCGACAGAGTGCCGCCGTTAAGTCGATAGTGACATGAAGGACCTCCCTGTCTGGGGAAAATGAAATAAATGCTGTAGAAATTTCAAAGACACAAAAAGTGAATATTCTTAGCAAGGAAACTGGAAGAGAACGGGGACCTGAAATTGTGTATGTGTTAAAATATGCAGTTTTGTTTGGTGTTGGCTGGCTCGTCACCGTGGAAGAACACAATCGAATTTTGACAAGTAATGAAGTGGCATTTGGAACTTGTAAATGACTGCTCACTTTTTGTTTCGCAGTATGAGCGAGGTCGTATCCTTTCCTGGCTTACAGATTTCGCCATTCGAATTGCTGCTTGAAGAAGTTCATCTTCTGCCTGGTCAGGATGAAGCGGTGTACCGGTGGCCGATGAAACCTAATCAAGAAACTTCAGTTTTCCGTGGAATGCAGAAAGGAAATACCACTTTTTACGGTTATTAACGAGGAATATAACGATGAAATACAGTGCACGTGGTACTACAGCAGCCGAAAAGAGGGCAAAAAACGTGTGACAAAATATGCATGACAAGTTAAAAACCAGCTTCGTGTCCACTTTCTATGCATTGAGGAATAGCGCGAGTGGTAGCAAATGTAAAAAGCAACCACTCGCTGGCAAGGCTGTCGATGCCCCCCCTCCCTCTGAGGGTTGCTAATGGCGGGTTTGACTCTCTGCCATATAAGGATAAAAGAATCGTAGAGAAGCAAGACAAAAAATGCGTTTACGTGAAAACTATTCTGAGATTTACTGGAACAACCTTACCTCCCATCTGCTGCGCAGATTTTTCACATTGGCTGAGCGAACGTCAATTTCCGAGTTATGGAACTGTTTTTTCTGAAAATTCTTGAACAACACTCAAAAATGTCAGTATTGAGAAGGATCGAAAAAAAAAAAAAAAAAGAAAAAACTCAAAAAACAACTCTTACCATTTGGTGTGGCTCAAATTTTGCCAGAACAGCGCCAATTTTTGGCTTCACCCGCACTTTTTGGCTTTCGCTACCAATTTCGCTACGAATTTTATCATCCAGCCTGTAAATCACTTTTCAGATAAGGTGTGGAACTTAGGTAAAGACGAATATTAAACGAGGAAATACAGAGTCATCGGGCGAGATTTCAAACAAATCGTCTACTTTTCATTTTTTTGAATAGTTTGACAAAGTTTGTCCCCCCCCCCCCCCCTTTAGTGAATCAATCTAATTAATTAATGAACAAAAACATTTCAAGGAATTTTTTTTAAAAAGTGGCCAGAGAAATTTTTCAAAAATTGATTAATGAATAAAATTACTTAGGGGAATTTTTTTTAGCGATTAGCCAGAGAAATTTCTAAAAAAATCTTCGTTATCCATATCGGTTTTGAATTACTCAGAAACTGATTCTGAGAAACGAAATCATGACAAAAAAAAAAAAAAATCGCCGGGGCAACACGCCAAAATTGCTTTATTTTGAGGTGGGCCGACGTGTATGAATCTACTTTATTTACTCTAAAAAGTATTTTTTTTAGCGGTATTAAGTGCTCAAAATTATCTTTTTTTTACGGAGATTTTAATTTATAACAAACTGTTTAGCGATTTGTTTGGTGCGGGATTCCTTGGCAGTTCCATAGGAGATAACACCAGTTGCAAGCTTTGCAGCTTCTGTGATTTCATCAATAATGTCGCCTCGATTTTGCTCTGAACGTGCGCCTAAATATATCAAAAAATATAGAAATGAATTCTAAAAATTTTCTAACAGAAAACAATTACTGCCTGGATAGTTGCATATAAATACACAGATGTTGCATGTATAGTTGTTGCAGGATATTATTGCGTGGAAGAAAGCAAAATCCGATGAGCAGAGCATGTTGCTCGATCTGCTGCTGACAACCTGTGGATGTCACATATCAGTGAGTTGTACTCGCGAAAAAGTGAAATATCACTCGAACAAAATGGCATATATACATCGAACAAAGAATCGAAGAGCTTGGTATGGCTACAACCTGTGGAATCCTCGTAAAATCACTAAAATCGGTTGCTCAAAATGACCACCCGGGGTGCTCTTGGTACTTTTTGCATCTATATGTCTAAAAGTAAAAGAAGAGACATTTCAGAAGAGGCAAAAAGAGACTTTTTGCATCTATAAGAAGAGACATGTTTTGCATCTGAAAAAGAGATATTTTTGAAGAGACAATAAGATATTGGGTCCCCTGCTTTCTGATGAATTTTTGGAAAAATTAGTGAAAGAGGAAGTCAATATCGTTGGAATTTTTTAAGAAAGTAGTAGCTGATCAGAAAAAATTCTCAGTAAAACAGGTGAAAATTGATAAAATGCTTACGTTTATGCTCATTCTGATCGAAATAATTTTCTTTTCTTTTGTTATCACCAATCTGTAAGAAAGGACAATATATATATATACATGTCAAGAGGATCTAAACTGGGGAAAAGCAACTGGTCAGGATCAAAAAAACCCATATCTCAGTAAAGCTTTTAATAGCCCACTCTTTCGGAGGTTAAAAACCTGTTGATGGCGGATTTGAATTTCAATTTATCATCGAAACGAATGAACAAATCGTAGGGGGATTGGTTTCCCACTGAACATTTCCTCGGCCCTCAGTGGCTTCTGGACGCTCAGTATGAAAACAACAATACTTGCCGCAATATTAAGCCTTCTACAAAAATCAAAAAAAAAAGAGAAACATTAACTTCAACAGAACACTAGATTTTGATTTTAGAAATCTGAATCACTAAAGATTTTGAAATCTCTTCTCGCAATTACAAGAAAATGGATGAAAAGCAAAAAACTTACGGTATCCGACGGTTTCTGAGATACGTCGTTTTTTGGTTTGCGCTATAATAGTGTATTCATCAGATTCAATCTTTCCAAAACAAAATAAAGGCAGAAACGGCATGGTGGTACTCTGTTGGTAAAGACTGAGGGCTCGACTCCGTCAGTCCCTCTACGATTCGTTCATTCGTTTCGACAGTAAATTGGTAATGGCATTGTGCCAGGGCGTCAACCTCGCCGTCAGCTTTTTTGTAAGCAATCTCCGAATGAGGGGACCTCTCAACAACCATGCCAAGCAATAATTGCTGTTGAAATCTGGCGCCATTCGGGTTACTTTTAGATTGTTTCCGCCTCTCACAACGAGTGAACAAGGGAGGATAGTACAGTATCCGATCGCTTCTATAAAATGCTGCGTCTGATTTGCGCTGGTTTTTACGATTAATATGCCCATCAAATTTAAAAAATTTTCGAAAATATGAAACAAAGGCGAGCAAGGGCAGCGGGCCAAGCGAAGAAATATAAAAACCCCAAAATTACCTTAAAAAATTTATGGATTCCATATTCCTCAGATTCCGAGCCATTTGCTGCTTCGGAATCATTACAGGATGAAATTTCGTTTTCTTCTTCAACAGTACCACTCTCTGATGTTTCCTAAATATAATTTATACAAAAATGATCTGTTCGGTATCACAAATGCCGAAAGTCAAAGCCTTTTTTTTTAATTCATTGTGAGCTCAAGTGACAACTGATGCCAAACCAATTACTCGCTGAAAAGGTTATCGATTGCTCCCTCTTCCAGAGGTTGTTTCGAAGCAATTTGGTGGCGGTTCTAACTTCCCTGGTGTATGCCAGTGCCAATTTACCACCGAAACGAATAGACAATTCATAGATGGATTAACTTTCCTATTTGTAAAGTCGAACTTCTAATTTTTGGTACTAGAGCGTTTGCCTACCGTACAAGGCCAACAGGTAAGGTATTAATGGTTCTCGTTATATTTCCGAGTTCCACTCTGCCATAGCAGAAACCCATCCTTCCAAGAATCTGTTCAATCTTTTCGATGGTAAATTGGTACTACACGTGTCAGGAAGATAAGTCATCCCCATGCAGAGCGTGTTTAGCGATTAGCTTGCAGTGCCCTTTGTGCTGTGTACCGAGTGCTTCTGCTGCCTACAAAGTGAATTATCGAAAGATTTGATGTTATTGGGGTGCAACCACACGTCGGACGCAGCTATTGCCAGGCCCTTCGATTTTGGATGCGGATTCCCTCTCTGTACCTGTCGCCTCTTTGATTTATGTGCCTCATTTCACAAAATAATATATTTTGACAAATCAAGATTGCCTGTTAATCCAAACAGTAATAGTCAAACTAGAATTTATGTCACTAGGTAAATCGACAACCAAAGTGCGAGGGGCTGCTAAGAATCTCAGGGTGTTGGTTGAGGGTCACGACACGGAATGGCTTGAACTTCTCGATATGCATCCGACGAATGTTAACTGTTAACTCAGATAGTAATTTTGGCTGAAACGTACGCCATGTGAGCATTGCTGTTCGGACGACGAACTATCCATCTTGGCTACTTCACATATTGGCACAGCAAATCTTAGACGCTTTTCACTTCCCACTCTTCGCACACTGCTCGACGATTTCACCGATTCCGATGATTGCATTTTTTGCGGTGATGCCGTCGTAGATGTTTGATCATCATCATCAACGTATGGGATGGTTTCATCGTCCGGAGCACGCACCGGCTTCCCTTCGTCAATCCGCGGCAGCGAACTTGCCGAGAGTTGTTTGCTTGCCTGATAGTAGCTTGCAGTTGGTGTGAATAGCGCTGCTGGACTTGTCTGTAAAAACTTGCATCTTTTCAAAAACTAAGCTTTTTCTTTAATTCAGTGAACAATGTGCTGGAAGAAGCTGTGTTTCAGGCTCTTCGATCCTATGCTGCTGGTCTTCAGCTAGCAGATTCGTCGCCTGTTCGACCAGTGTGCGCCAGTATTTTGGAGCTTTCTCATGGGTGTACCGCTCAATCGAATTTGTAGTATATAAGAAAGCCGAGTTTGCAAGGCAAGCAAACTCGGCTTTTACATATACTACAGGCTTCAGACTGCCAGCTAACATCCACACTCAGAATAGTGTTTATAATGCTGTTTGAGCCGAATGACTGTTTCAACATTTAAAATCAAATAAATACTGTCAAGCGACCACTGGGCAGAGCGCCAGTGTGGTGGAGAGACTCCATGGCACGCCTGTACGGTTTCAAGTGGACTCGGAGAGCGCAACAACGAACTGAATGGAGAAACTGTCAGTTGCATCGATGGAGTGACAACGAGCGTCGATGACATACGGCTGCTCAAGTATTCAAGTATAAGTAAGCACTGATCGGTATTATACACCCAAAATAAATAAGAAACAGCGGGATACCTCTCCAGTGCTGAGCCGCTGTGTTGGTCCCTTGAGAAATGATTCTTTAGGACGCGAAGGTCTCAGATCGCATTCAAAATTTTCCAAATCAGCAGCCAGTGCAGCAAATCGAGCTCGACGTTTCGCATTTTGTGACACATCCACCGGGGATTCTGGTGCAGCCGCTGCTGAGCTGGTGTTTAACTGAAAATGAACACAATCAATTTTGGACAAGTCCGAATCAACTAAAGCGAATTGTGACAAGTCAAGATCAACTAATGGGAATGAACTTGTATTATTCTACCCAAAATATGACCCTATTTGTAGAGTAACAGAAGAAAAAATCATTTAAATTATGAATTTCTCTGTGTGGCATTTTTGGGGGAGTGAAATTAAGGTCAAAATACGGTGGGACGCAAAAAACCACAAGTAACTGTCCCCCACTTCCTCCCCTCCTCTCAGCCAATTACGGCAATTAATTGTGGTCGACACTGTCTTCCTCCCTCCTTCATTTTTATGCGTTTTTTGTGGCAATGCAATGTGAAAAACGCATATTGACGAGAGGTTGTCTGTGTGTGTGTGTCTGTGTGTCCGTGTGTGCGTCTGTC